CCTTTATTAAAACACATAAACCTGTCTTTTGCCGCCAAAAAGAATTCCTGTACAATCTAGACATCCTTCAGTAGGTCTGTGACATTTCCTGATTGTCTGAAGGACACGCCAATCATTGATTGCTTTACCGGCTTACGTTGATCTGACTCATTTTATAAGCTGTACTAATGCCTATAGATCTTTTTTTTTTTTGAAGCGGAAAAAAGCTTCTGAGCACCCCTGGTTGTCCTCAAACACGTTGAGGTTGAAAGGACGTAACCAAAATTACCACCCAGAGTATAAATAAGTAAACTAGATCATTTTACAGACAGTTCTGCTATGGTTAGTGTCTGGCGAAAAGCTTCAGCAGATATTTCGTTTGCAACATCTCAACCAACAATTGGTCCAGTTATCAACGTTACTTTCAAGTTCTGAACAACTCGACTTTCAAAATCTACGTATCTACATGGGCCGATGTTTCCATTTATCAACGTTATATTTTAAGATCTGTACAAGAACTCGGCTAACAGATGTTTCCGTATATATTAAAGCTATCTTCAAGTTTTGTACAACGAAAACCTTTTTCAAGATAATAACTTCATATCCAAGTAAACTATATACTTAGTGCGAAACTATAAATCAACCCGACCAATGACATAGCTAATTAAACATACTTTTCTTACGCTTCTACCCATAAAGATTGGAATGCATTATTTCATCAGTTATGTGCCCTCGCTATTAACGATATCTTCGGCCGTAAACTTAATAATATCTCACGAGGTTCGGCCAGCTTTAGGAAATTTAGTCGTCAATATAAATTCTACGGTAACATTGCAAAACAATTTTTATAATAAAACTATAATAATGAATGACAGCTGAACATAAAAAAGTAGTTACATTCGATATAGTAACTAGTATAACCAATGTTAATTAAAAAAAAACAATAAATGAGTAAAATATCTTACCTAACTTAGGGAAACCACAAACACTTTTCTTGAAACTACAGTCGTTGACGTATATTTGTTTGGTATCTTGCTCTTTGTCTAACACTGCACCTTAGCAAAGAAAACTTATTGGTTTATGTACATAAACCTGTGAATGTTGATAATGTGCCTTTATAATATAATTTTATCTCCAACTTTTCTCTGCGTTTGATCGCTCTTCTAGTTGACTGTCAAATTAAGTCTTTATACACATGAACCAGAATTTTGGTTTAATCTTTATATAGCCTTAGCACATCAACATATGTTTCATATAACAACAATCTTATAAAAGTTAACTAAATTATATCGAAAATAACAAACATAAAGCTTTCATTTTTTTAATATAATTAGTATATAGAATATACCACAATGAGATATCTGTGCTCTGCCCACCAAAGGTATCGAAACCCGATTTTTAGCGTTATACGTCCGCAAACTTACCATTGAGCCACTAGAGGACTAATAAGTAAACCTGTTCACATTAATCTTATACATTTTGAGAGTTACTTATCGTTTACCATGTAACGTAAACCTGATGTTTTATTTCTATATATAAACTTAATGATGGATTAACAGTTTACTCGCATATATTTTCTGAATAATTTTAACCAACGTGTCTACACGTGTAATTTACGAAGGATGACTCTCATGCAATAATTCTTATTTGTAGAGTTTTGATTGGGAATCTGTATTTTTTTAAGATATTAGTTCAACATAACCAGAAAACAAGTTATGAGTTCCCATTCTCCGAGCATACAAACAGATAGAACTTGCCTCAT